TGTTGTAAATCGTCTCTTATATTTCCTATAACTTTTTTTCACTCCTTTGTTCAGTGTTCTGTAGGTTATTTACAGCTTCTACTTTCGTTGTCCACCCTTGTAATGAAACATCTTCTGTTTCGCCACCTGCGTCTGTTTTATCAGCTCTCAAGTGTCCGTAGAGAGTCACTCCTTGTCTAGCCTATTCTTCTTTCCCAAGAGTGTTATGCAGGTTTCCATCAACGTCACTTTCAGAGATTCTCCATGTTCTCCTACATCGGTTTCCTCGGTAATGTTACATAATGTTTCCGATTTTGATGTTATGGCTGAAATGAATCTGTCCTTTGTAGCTTCGTCCTTTCTGAGTGTTGAACCTGATATAAGGTCTATCTCCAGCTTCTTCAAAGGCTTTAAACTTTACCTTGGTGGTTCCTTGAATCAGATAATTGTCTGAGCTTACTTCCTCCCCTCTCCTCAATTTCATGTCCATTAGGATTTGTCTTCACTTTCTTGAGATGCAGTGTACCTGACTTTTGGTGTGTCCGTCTGGTGAAACTCATGTCACTTTGTGCCTTTTATGCTACCGTCAATCACGAGGTCTGAAAAAAATTCTCCTTTCCCATCTGTTTCCCATCATATAACCCAATAGGTTATATGAATTTTGACATTACCATCTGGCTGAGGTTTTATCCACTGCTGATTAAAGTCATCTGTAGCAGTCCTCTTTCTTCTTCACCAGTTGTTTGTAGGTGCACACCATTGGATAATATTAACACTCCTACCTTTTTTTTTGAATCTTGCTATCATAGTGCTGGGAGAGAATGGTTTCCATTGCACAAGAGCATTCGTTGCTATTAGTGATATTATGGTGTCCACTTCCTCTTTGTGTTCATGGCTGTCATCTGGGTGATAAAAATGGGTTATTTACTCTCCGATTAGCACTTCGGATGGTCCACTTCGATCCCTTCTCTTCTCACAGATTCCTTATATTTCTTCACTGTGTCTTCTGATTTATTTCGCAATCTGAATAGCCTTCCCAGGCTCAGCCATTCTATGTCTGCATAACTCTTTCTGCTTCCATAGAAAGGAGACACAGCTGTCGACTTGCTTTCCGAAGGCCTTCAACATCATGCGTCATCCCTGATTCCAGAGAGGAGTAATTCTAATTCTTATATGTTTTGAGGTTTTAGCACGTATGGTGTTGCTTTTTTATAGGATAAGTTATTGTGCCCACGCCCAACCCTCCCTCTTTTTCCAGGTTTGGGATCGATCAGGCTACAAACTGTTTACATTCAACCAATCTCTCCTTCATTACTCTACACCAGACCACATTCATAATGAAATGACCCGCCAACTCAGTGTCATCTTCTTTGGTTTACACCTGAGTCTACTATAACCAGCCAACTAATGAACTGGAATGCATTGATGGATTCATTTAATTACCGAACTCAAAATACGGGTTGAGAGATGTCAATTTGAGTTTTATAATATATCAATTTTCCACATGATTTAACTCATAAATCATACAGATGTTTCCTAAATAGTGTATATTTCTTGATGATGAACCAGATAATGCTTGAATGACATTTCTCATTTAGAAGAATTTTGGGGTCACCAACTGTTTTCTTAAGAAACAACAATGAAGTGACCCAACAAATTGTTCCAGTAAGAGTTGATCATTGCTAAGTCAATGAAAATGTCGCCGTCTGAGCTGAGTCGAACCAGGTACGCCACTAGTGAGCTTGGCTTCAAAAGAGCAAACAGACTGTCCAGTAAATAGATTACTTACCTCTGGCTAGTTGATGTGAGTGATTTCCAGAACACTTATATCAACTAGCAGTGTACACCATTCTACAAGTTCACCATTTATGTCATTTGAGCACATTACATATTGTCATTTCACTACTTTTTGGTTTCCTGAGGAAACTGTTCTTGCTTCTTTTTACTCTGGTTTATGGCGTCTTCAAAAGCAAAGAAAAAGGTAGTTCAATCTTACTTTTCACCTTTTGTGAAAAACACTAACTTGCGAGAGAATTGAGTATTCTCATGTTACATAGTGACATTACATGGGCACTAGATGAGATGACATATTGCACCTAACATTAAACCTGTGCATGTAATCACCTCGTATTTGATAATTCCATTTCCCAGTGTGAAGCATTACACCAAGTTTGACCACAGACTGATATCAGTTAGTGAATCATTGAGAAGCAGCAGGGAGTACTAAACAGCTGTTTCGTCCTAGTTGGGCAGTCATCGGCATTGCGCACCCACTAGGGTTTGGAGTCAGGACCTTCCGGTTACAAGGCAAGCTAGTAGACAATTATTTATTTTTATTTTTTTTATTTGATTTACAGCTTGATTCCACACCGTATTTTTTCAGTACAAGTATGGAATTTTCAGCATGGATATCGGTTGCCCAAATTTTCCAGGCCGACCATAGATATCGGGTGTGCGCCGGCAGGGGATCGAACCCCGGACCATGTGCATGGTCGGCGAGAGTCCTAACCACTGTGCCACCGACGCACAGCTACTGGGCGCCAACTCAGTAGTCTATGAACTAAACATGCACATATTTATTCAGTCCACACAGGAAAGCCTAATTTTGGTCATATTTGAAACACATCAGATCCCTACAAACCAACTTTTGTTAATTTACTTTTATCGAGAAATCATGGACTGACAAGTCATGTCTGTTGTGGATTTTCTTATATTGAAGAAAGCAGAACTTTATGGAAATTTCATCCACCTCTTCATGCAGAGAATATTCGCTTCTGGAAACCTCATCTGGGAAATTATGAGAAGCTGAAGCCTAACTAGCACAAAAAATCTAGTCTAGTACCATTTATAAGCGTTACAAATATTCTATTAACAGTCATGCATGCATCGATCATTTTAGACACTTTCAACACGAATCAACTATTAAATTCATGCTATCGTGTTAACCAATTCGTGTAAGGAGGTTGTAAGTAAACACTAAATTCCAGTGAAGTTGTTCTACAGTCAGCTTCCAGTTGATTGAGCAATGCTGCAGAAATTTCATACTTTCCATACTACTACGCTCAATAAAACACTTGAGAGGATTAGGATATTAACTTCGGTCTCTTACAGAGTGTGCCATTCTTCCAGAGTACTGTCGATTGTGAAAACTTGATTAATGCTGTTCCATCTTGTATATTTAACCATATCGTGTTTGGTGAAAAATCACTTTAGACTGATTGAATACCTTTTAGTTTGCTCTGAATCGTTTTATAAAAATCTTCTTGATCGTTTGGATGGCCAACTAACTGGTGTATCCCAATCTTGTCTAGAATTATGAACCTACTCAGTTTAAATAACACCAGGCAACCTGCCCAAAATATCCCTTTGAAATGAAAATTACTGTCACTTTTTGGAATTTGTTGAACGATTCGGTTTACGATATTAACCACAGATGAAAAATAAAGTCTTTATATAAAAGTGACTAAGTGACAAAATTGAAGGCCAAAAGATGACGATTAAGAGTTCAGATATTTTGTTAGGCACTTTGATCTAGGCCCCCCCGAAAATAACATGGTGGTCTATCTACCTAAGGGAGCTGAAATACCCTGAGTCCAAACCAATGGTGTACATTGGTTACGGAATCCGAACGGATTGAATGGCATATGAACCTGTATTCTTCACTGTCGAATATGATAACTCAGCTCCTAACGCTACTCCACTCTCTTGTGGATCAGACTCCAAGTCGAATGCTTGAAGGTTGGTCCCTAAATACAAGCATTCGCTTCACTCTAGGAGACCGAGTGGTATCCCAGCCATCTTATAAACTAGATGAATTCCTGTGGTACGTCTCTCGGTGCTCCTAATATAGCAAGATTGTGATCTAACACACAAAATAAGTAAATAATCTTGATGATTATTCCAGTCCATTTTTATTGACATTAAACAACGTGATGCCTAGACCACCAACTCATTACAGATCTTTCAAATTCACCTGTTTTATGTGTAAATATCGTAATATTTTGAAAACATGCAAATTCTAACATATCAGATGTACACATATGCGCGTGTTATATCAACTATGAAATTACCTTACTTGTAAGAAAAACTAAATTTACAGAGATTTTTTATTCACTTCAGAATAGGAAATCTAATTGTGGCTTCACTTCATTTTTGTTGATGTGGCGTGTCAAAACAATCATCACCTGTGGCTTTGTTTCTAATTCTCTCTTCTTCTCCTCCTTCTCCTTCTTTCTATTGAAAACACAAACACCCCAGCACAACAAACAGCCAACAAGATTCACCTGATTGGTTAACTAGCAGTTTTGTTATCCCTTGCCACATAATGACACCCAGAGGGGAAATCTACGCACACACATACACAATGCATCATTCATCATCTGTGATGGAGATAAAATGTTAGAATAAATTCAACTGGAGTACAAGGAGAACCAATCTCTCTCTCGAATTGTCAGGCAGGTAGTCAATCAGTCAGCCAACCAGTCTGCTACATCTGTTAGTGTGTGTGTGTTGTAAAGAGTAATTTACTTTCATATCATCACAGTGATTTCATTCTTGCCTTTTGTCTCTCGAGTAAATTAATTTAACATACATTTTCAGAAATCTTGAATAAACCACAAACAGATTATAACTGTATGGAGAGGGTGTAATAACAAGAACAAGAACAATAACACCACCAACACCAACAACAACAGCCCCAAGAACAACAACAAGAACCAGTGACTGTTGTTTCTTGTATAACCATATGATTACTATACGAATAACACATTGTATGTACAATTTAATAAATGCATAACTGTTATTTGTCTTAAAGGTGTACAATTTCACCAGGCGTATAGTGAATCTCAGACGAGGAATAAATAAATATTCCGAGGAGAGTTAACTTTCTGTTTCCACCCTAAATGTTAACAATTACTCACACTCACAAACACAAGCACACATACAATATTGACAGAGTCATTGGAATTACAATCTAATCGGCTACAAAGTGCACACATCTGGTTACGGTGAATGCTGTTTTACACCTTGTACACCTGAACAAAAGTCATTAATTCTACATTTATTTTCTAACCTGTTTTATTTTGTCATTTGAGAAAAACTTCTCCGCCTTTTCTTTGGCTGTTTGGATCTTGTAAACTTGTGAATTACAACATAACTCGCCTTCTTTACATATATATTCACTAATTCGGAAACTTGTAACATCTGTAATTGTCTTTGGTAGAATTATTTCATTCTGTTGTTCCAAAGATTCGATTGTAAGTCATCTCTAGTCTATCTCCCTCTCTCTCTTTCTTAATCTCTTACACACCAACATACTATTTTAGTTTGCACAGCATTCGAACAAGTGAAACTGAATGTCGGTAAATAGAAAAGTGGACAGTATTTCTACAGAATTAAACGTGTACAACTATACACATTTGGGTTAAGCGTATATTCTGTGTTGAACTGATCCACCCACCAACCCATCACTCACTCACTCACTCAACCATTCATTTATTCGCTTGTGTATATAATAATAATAAATCCTCGTGATACTCAGATAGATTACACATGTTAATGGCGTATTATTCTCTTTCATGAGACAATATATGTACACTGTGCAACACAAATGAATAATAAATGAATATCATTCAGACAATATAAGATCGTATATACATACACACAAAGACGTGAAAGTTAACAGTGACGGATGCAATGGAATACCTCTTATAATTTGTGGATGGCAGCGAAGAAATAACGAAGGTCTGTTTATGCAGTAGCACGCCTTTGTTCTTTGATTCGAATACTAGAATAGAATTTCACTTGAAAAAGAGAGTGTTACTTGTGTAATTGTATCATCACCATCATCATTAACATCATCATTGAGTCTGTGAAATTCAATACGAATTCATTGCCATGTGTATAAAGAATATTTCAACACTTATCATACATTATTTTCTAATTTATTTTGGAATAATTATTTCATTGGATGGTGTCAAGTCGGGAAATTGGTGAGTTCCAGTGGTTTGAAATGCTTTATTGAAAGGTTGCTTTTTCAAAGACTGTATTCATTTGTAAAATATAGCTGGGCGGAGTTACACGCCTAGTTGGAGTATATTTTGTTGATACGTTTTATCTTTAAGCTTGTTTCTACTGGTTCGATAAAGAATGCCTAATGATCGTGTTTCCACCTTCTATGTGGTCTGTTTTGACAGAAAAGTGTGTACGGGAAATCGGTAGATTACAGTCAGTTACAGTGGAACTGTGGATTTCAGTCAAGTCCTCCACTAGTTAACAGGAATTCAGAGATGATTCTTACTTCATTCTAATTTACTATTAGGTTTTAAGAGGCTACAGCTATTGCTTCAACTATGAGGCTGTTCGATAGATTTACTTACAGGAGATCATAGTCAGCTGCCATTGGCGATGTTAATCAAATAATATTCAGGCTACGGCAAACGATTGCCTGTAAACTTTTCAAAGCTTGATGCCTAAGCGTTGAGTGAATATCTCGTGGACTTCGATTAGAAATAGAATGATTGTCATACAAGTTAATTTTGAGTTGATGGTGATGTCACTTTTGAAAATTCACTGTAAAAGGAATCCTGACGGGCTTTTGAAGTGTTCTCGCTTATTTTATGTTGACCAGACTGACCTAGTGTTGTCCACAATATTCACTTAACGTTTCGCACTTATTTCTACACCAGATTCAGATTATAATGAAAGAAGTTTGTTGTTGCCTATTTTAATCCTTGTGATGTATATCTCTGTAGAGATCTAGTTTTCTCTTTGAAAGCGTTTACCGAATGAGCTGTTAATACTGTTTAAGGTAAGAAGTTCCAGTCATTCAACTCTCTTTGAGAGAATCTAAATTTCACACATATTTTATTCGACCTTGGTTTTAACACCTTGCGGTGACCTCTTAAACGTATCTTAGGGGGAGAGGAAAGGTTTGAAAGGTCAATCCCTAAATCACCCTTGAATATACGGTAAGCCAAATTTAAGTCGCCTCTCCTCCTTCGGTATGATAATGGGAAGAGATTTAAATACTGCATCCTCTTGTCATAAGGAAGGCGTGACATACCACTAACTAATTTCGCTCCTACCCTCTGTATTCTTTCCAGGATATGTGCCTCCTTTTTGAAGCATGGGCTCACCGCTGGTATACAGTATTTTAGATGCGGTCTGAAATATGCTGCATAGAATACTTGGAACATACCCTCGTTTAGTCGTTTGAAAGCCCTTCGAAGTGACCATAGCATTCGAAAAGCCCTAGCTGCGGCTCCATTACAATTACAATAATTCCTAAATCCTTTTGTCCCTTAATACCTGGCAGTTTTCTGTCCCCCACGGAGTGCGACGCAACACTATTACCCTGTTAAAATGTAATAATATTTTCCTAACTGATGTCTGCACATGACTCATAGATAAGTAAGAGAGTAATCGAGTCTGTGACTTCAGGTCGAGAGTGATACCAGTGGAAGTGAAGATAATGATAAGTGAGAAAACTGTAAACAGTCAAAGTTTCAGCCATCGCGCTTACAGCACATAAGAAAGACTTGAGCCAGAAATCATTTTCAACATTAAACTTTGTGATTTAACAAGGAAACTTTCATCATCCATGTAGATGCATAAATGTGGGCCAGTGTAACCTTTGTTTTAATGATATTTCTATACACCTTGTGTTGCTTATCTCTAGCTATGCAGTGTCGGACTAGGTGACTGATTAATTGGAGCAGTGTTACTCCGTGAATGTGTCAGAGGTCTACGCGTGCGTTAAAGAATAGGAATTCACTATGCTATATCCATAAGAGTTTTCTATCAGATCACTTTTACAGGAGTGAAGATCCCGATGGTGAATCTGAAATGTGGATGAGAACGCTGGTTATCCTAAGTTAAAATCAATGAAGGGAAAGTCCCTATGATATAAATCACAAGTGGTGAAATGAAGTAATCAACGTTGACCCATCAGTTTTAAGATCCTCACCATCCACACAGTTTTCATGGTATTCTGTTCTTGTATTCCTATTAACTCCCTTCATCTCATCTTCAGAGTAGTGAAATGTAGCAACGCGGTATACTGAGATATTTACAATTAACCTTCAGGGCTAGATTCTGCTAATCAAGTAAATGGAACGCTGTCGATAATGTGCACAACAAGGTTGGCTAGGACAGGTCGTATTTTCATCTGGAGAAAAGAGAATGCATATCATGAAAATGATCAGCCCTACTCTGATTTCAATGTATGCACAGACATGTTTTGTCCTTCATTGTTCCTCACTTCTTAGATTCTTCAAGAAGTTCGCACCTTCTGCTTGCATTTCTTCTTCAGTGACTCTTCAAATAAAACCTAATTCGTCACTGTTTCTTTAAAGACCACACTCTATACACTACACTTATGTGTAAGTAACACTCCACAGCGTGACCCGATTATTCAAAATAGTTTTTACTCACATTATGAGTTTCATTGGTTTGACACTCTATCAAGTGAGATTATATCAAAATTGTTTGTGCCTGTAAGTAACATTGATATTTGTAATCAGTTATATAGAAAAATATCATGCCATTTCCAACGTACTCCTCGGTACTATAAATCACATGTAATAGGATGGTTTGAAGTAAGTAGTCCGAATTTGTCTGTCGAATTTCACTTTTCATTTAGAACAGAAGACGCGCTTTCAAGATAATCGCTTACTGGATAAACCATTCCTGTCTGTTTGATTTATGTATGTATGCAAATAAGTGCATATATATCACCCTCATTATTCCTAAATAATGAATGAAGTTGTCTCTGGGAGAAATTGTCGTCTTTGCTAATCGTCAGAATCATAAGTATCAAAGTGGCCATCATGGAATTTGAATATCAAGTGGAAATCTGCATTACTTCCCTATTTGTCACGTGAAATATCTAAACGAAGCGTAAACTTGTGACTCACCACAGTCGGATTGTTACTGAAATAACTGAAAGCATTCACCTTGATGATATTTTTTTTCACTGTTGACGACAACCACGATTGTTCAATAGGATCATATGGCTTCAGAAGATATTTCACTAGTTGCAACTCTCCACTGCTAGATGGTTATCCAATTTAGATGTAGAAAATGGTAGTTGCTGCAAAACTGTGCCAACTAAGCACACACGTGATCACAGAGACGACATTTAGACTAAATGGGTTGAATTAATGTCAGTACAAACGAGTCCGATGCGTCAAGTTTCATGTTATCGTTCAAGAGGCATATCATCCTGGACATTGATATCTAATATTATCAGCATAAAGAATAATTGTGGCAACAAAATCAACAGCTTTTTGACTGATATCGGCAGGACGTGTAACTATCAGAAAAGAAAGTCTTTAACGTTGGACAAACTTCACCGTGGTAAATACCTAATATTGGGAATCCGACAATTTCTTCTAATGGCATAACCGAAGTCAAATCTGTTCATTTTGTGACCCTTGAGTTTCCTGTGCATTCACCAGGTAGGAAAATTAAGCGCGTTAACAAATAATTACGGAGAAATTTCGTATCTGCTTGACTGGGTCAGATTTTGCTCTAAACTCTACTGAATTACCTGGAGACTAATCTAAATTCGTCTTATACTAAACAAAGTAACTCATTAATTACTCGAAAAGTCAACATTCACTGAGCAATGCTTCCTTCTACAGGTTTATACAAAGACAAAATGGGCCGTCTAATTAAGGCAATCGTAAATTAAATGTAGTGGAATGGTATCATTTCTCAGCTTCTGTACAATTGTCTTGCAAACAGGTTTGTTCGCAATAATGAAGAGTTTGATGATGAACTGAATTCACTTAGCGAATCACGGGGAACCAGATTGTACTGAATAGCACTGAAATTATTTCTTGTTCAAACTTGAAATAACTCAAATATCCGCAACTGAAAACTTGAAAACAGTTAAGAGATTTCATAACAAACTAATTTTATGAAACGAAGTAACAAAATAACGATAATCAGTCCCATTTTAATAGGTTAAATAGTACAGGGTTTGCTAGGCATGAATTCTGCTGTTTCCGATACATTTTATTTGGTACATCTGTGATTAATTCAAAATACCCCCACCCTGTTTTTTAACCTTGAGTTAAAATTGTGTGAAATAACTGAGAAACAGTTACATCATCTCACAATATCTATCTTCTGAATGTCTTATTCAGGTTCATCAATGGGAGTAACTGTTTCAAATTTCACAGTGCTAATAAAGTGTAGAAATCTTCTGCATGTCCAAACCGAGTTCATTTCTTAACAGTTTAAAAATATTTGGGCATTGGGTATATGATATTGATTATGATAAACTTTTTTGTATTTCCTAATGAATGAAAAACAACACGATAATGTTGCTTTTACTGACGTTTCGCTGTTTAATACTGTTAATAGCTTTATCAAAGTATAATTAAACAAGAATCGACAAAATCTCCGCTTAAATATCACAACTTAATTATCGTTCTTCAGTATGGGGTAATTTTTGTTTTGTCAAGTTGGCTAATTGGTAAAAACAACAAAATCAGGTGTAGATTGTTGGATATGATAAGTGTATAAAATTATAAAAGCAGCATGTATTTACATAATGAAATTGCTTATCAGATTCGTACTGACTTTGTCATCTCATGGGGGAGGGGAGTGTTCTAACCAGGTCATATTCTGTTTCAGTCCATCATTCCTATTCAGACAATTTGGATTTCATTTGATATGAAGTGCTTCTGATGATGTGAGAGGTTCTTAGGGACTTCTGAAATTTTTCGGGATTATTTCAAAATTGTCGAAATCATTTTTGTGACCTGATACTATAGCGTCACGTATAGACCCATGGCTGCTGATTTTTCAAGCTTTTCTAGTTCAACTGGATTTCTCGGTGGTTTAACAGATGCTCTATGGTGTTCATTTCTTCTGATTTTGATTTCTCGCGATGTTTGTCTGATGTATATCGCATCATATTCCAAGCAAGCACTTTATTTTATAGACACAAGTAGATAGAGAATCTTTAGGGATTCGGTCT